AAGTTGAATACCTTGGCTTTGTCGTATCAAAAGAAGGTATAAAAACGGCACCATCAAAGATAAGTGCCATACAAAATTTCCCAGAACCAACGACGTTGTTCGCTTTGAGATCATTTCTTGGGCTAGCGAACTATTACCGATGTTTTATAAGGGACTTTGCCAAAATTGCAAAACCTTTAACCGATAATTTAAAAGGAGAAAACGGAAAAATTCCTGCAACCAAATCCAAAAAGGTTATCATCAATCTTAATGCCTCCCAACTGGATGCATTTTACAAATTAAAAAATATTCTATGTTCAGAAGACGTGTGCTGTTCTATCCCAAGAGGGAAGACCAATCACTATGATTTCTAGAGCGTTATCGGATAAGGAGTTGAATCTCGCCACAAACGAAAGGGAACTTCTAGGAATAGTCTGGGCTCTAAAAACTCTAAGGCATTACCTTTATGGTGTGAAGACTCTTAACATCTTCACTGACCACCAACCGTTAACATATTCAGTTTCGGACCGTAATCCTAATGCACAAATTAAGCGCTGGAAAGCTTTTATAGATGAACATAATGCAAACTTATATTATAAACCAGGAAAAGAAAATCAAGTTGCAGATGCGCTATCAAGGCAAGTCGTCTATGCATTAGAGAACGAAAATTCGTCAGACATGGCAACAGTTCATAGTGAGGAGTCATACACCTACACTATGGAAAGCTCAGACAAACCGGTCAATTGTTTCCGCAACCAAATCATTCTGGAAGAGGCAGAATTTCCCGCCACTCGAAATTTTATACTTTTCGGAAACAAAACGAGACATATCATAGAATTCGGGGATAAAAACGAAATACTGGCTAAACTTGTTGATGCAGTCAATACTGAAGTAGTAAATGCCATTCATTGCGACCTACCTGTGTTGGCTCACATTCAACATGATTTGATTAAAATGTTTCCTTCAACAAAGTTCAGATTTTGTAGTAAATTTGTCGCTGACATCTTCAATCAATGCGATCAGAGAGAAATTGTTGTAAGTGAACACAATAGAGCTCATCGGGCAGCTCAAGAGAACGTTAAACAAATCCTTTCGGAATACTATTTCCCCAAAATGGTAAAAATAGCGAATGAGGTTGTTGCAAACTGCAAAACCTGTTCAAAAGCTAAATACAATCGACACCCAGAGAAACATGTTATAGGAGAGACAATAGTTCCTTCATATGCCGGTGAAATTCTACATATTGACATTTATTCAACTGATAAAAAACATTTCTTAACTTGCGTGGATAAATTCTCAAAATTCGCAGTGGTACAGCCAATAGCCACCAGAACAATTCTGGACATAAGAGAACCGATTCTCCAATTAATGAATATTTTTCCAAACACCAAAATTGTCTATTGTGACAATGAGAGGTCTTTCAACTCCGAGACTATCAGATCAATTCTGAAAAACAGGTTTAATGTCGAAATTGTCAATTCACCTCCTCTACACAGCACATCAAACGGGCAGGTAGAGAGATTTCACAGCACTCTTGCCGAAATCGCAAGATGCCTAAAAATAGAAAGGAAGATCGATGACACTGTCGAACTCATCTTACAATCGACCATAGAATATAACCGGACAATTCATTCTGTCACGAATGAGAGACCTATTGATACGATACATTCTACACCTTCTGAAGTAAGAGAAAAGATTAAAGAGCGAATCTGTAACGCGCAAAACAGGCAGTTACAATACTTCAACAAAAGTCGTTATGACAAAGTTTATAACGTGGGAGACAAAGTCTTTGTTAAGAATAATCGTAGACTTGGAAATAAAATGACCCCACTTTATGAAGAAGCTACTGTTGAAGCAGACATGGGGACAACTGTCCTAATAAAGGGGAGGGTGGTCCATAAGGACAACCTAAGATAATCCTTTCAATAAGATGTCTAAATGTTTCTTCGTCTACCTTTTATTTTTCTTTACGCAGGCTAACACTACAATTGCTTCTTATGATAAACCTCACATTTGCAAAGATTATTGATTATTCGCATTCCGATTATATCCCAATTTTGGACGGGAACGCGATTATATGGAACAAATATGGGTACTTAAGACATACGACAAACCTTACAACGTATTCCGAGATATTAGACGATACAAAAAACGCAATACAGATCTTCCCTCAGACGCATGTTAAAAAGATATTGGAGGCCGATGTATTGCATATTGATACTCTTTTAACAACACTCACCGTACATCATCGGCATGCGAGAAGCATCAATCTTATAGGCACAGCACTGAAGGTTATTGCCGGTACACCAGATGCCGATGACTGGGAGGATGTCAAATTTGTCGAGAAACAACTCGTAGATTCCAACAACAGACAAATAGAAATAAATACGAAAATACAGATCCAAATAGAAAAGTTGACCAATGCAGTAAACACAATCTTAAATACCGAACGAAAGGAACAAATTGATACTGTTAAACTTTTTGAAATTTTAATGGCTAGAAACAGAATGCTGCTTATGGAATTACAAAATATAATTTTATCTGTAACTTTGGCTAAAATCAATATTATAAATCCCACAGTTTTGGACCAGGATGATTTAAAATTTTTTATAAAAAATCAGATCAATGAGCAATACACAGATTTTACCATATCAGAACTAATGTATTTGTCTAAAGTAAAAGTAATATCAAATGAATTTTGTTTGCATTTTATCATTAGATATCCCATTCCAATACGAACATGTCAGAAAATTTCTTTATTCCCAGTTCCCCACTTCAATAAAATTATTCAATTCGCTGACACCAACACTGTGGTAGACTGTGAAGGAAAGACTTATTCAGCAACAGATTGCAAGCACGCAATATCTTCAACCTATTGTCAACTGATGCCAGAGTCAACCTGCGCTCAACAACTCATATCGGGTAAATCAGCACACTGTAATACGCAAAGCAATAATCTTGAAAAAGTGGCAGAAATCGATGATGGAATTGTCATTGTGAATGACGCTATTGCAGAAGTGAAAGAAGCAACCGAAAATGTAAGAAACATAAACGGCACATTCCTAATAACTTTTGAAAAGAATGTGACTGTCAATGGTACGCTGTTCGTAAATAGAAACAACATTGATATGCGGAAACCAGGAACACCATCATTTCCCTCAATTATTATAAACAACCACAGCGAAATTTTAAGTTTATCATCTGTCCATGAGATGAACTTGCAAAACTTACAATATATTGGCGAACTTGAAAGAGATGCAAAAGTGCGGCCAATATTAGTTGGTTGTGTTGTTTTTATGAGTATCGGATTACTCTATTCCATATTGTGCCTCATTAAGCGTAGGGTGAAGAAGAGAGAACAGCGAGATTTTAAATCTGCCGTCGCAATGGCTATAAAGAAGACCGAGGACGGCCTTCACTTAAGTGAGGGGGTAGTTAGCACATCCCTGCCAAACTAACAGGCAACAATGTTGCCTTTGTGAGCTTTGCTTGGTTGACTGTTGTGTGCTTAGCATGGAGTCGTGTTACGTCTGGTGGCGTGACCATGGGAAGTGTAGTGTCAGCGTATTGTCAGCAATTTTGATTTGTTTAGTTTAAGTAGAATAAGTTTTTGATGTGAATAAAGAAGTTAGTTCATTCTAACTCACCAAAAGGCACACAAGTCTTTTTATTAACTTATATATATCTACTTTATAGGGTCAAAAATGATTATTTATAAAGAAATAAGGGTTCGACTTTTTAAAAAATAAGGACAACAGGAGGACAGGACAAGTTTTATTTGTGTAGAAACAACTTCTATACCCTTTGGTTTTCATTGGTTAGAAAATGTTTCTACTCCGATCCATTTTCGATATTTTCTGGAAAATAAAACACACATTTTTATACCCTTCACCACACTGTGGTATAGGGTATTATGTCTTTGTGCATATGGAAACGAAATAGACGCAAAAGGAATATTTGAGAATATGCATAGAATCGCTTTTGGCCCAAGGACGAACCCTATTGAAATTGGGAAAAATCGGTTCAGATTTAGATATAGCTCCCATATATATTTTCGTCCGATTTTATGTACATGGTGCACCAAAGTCCCGATATATCCTTCGATTTGCACGAAATTTGGCATTGCGTTCTGAATTAAGTCTAGAATGATGTGTATAAAATTTCGTGAAAATCGGTTCAGATTTAGAATTAGCTCCCATATATATTTTCGTCCGAATTTAGGTAAATAGTGCACCAAAGTCCCTATGTATCCTTCGATTTGCACGAAATTTGGATTTATAAGAAAATGAAGAACTCAAAATGTGGCCGAAGGCAAAAAAAAAACATACTGAAATAAGTGTAACCTAACATCTGGCAAGTTTCGATTAAATCGGTTTAGAATACGATATTTTGCTTTAAATTTATTTACATAATTTTGAGACATTGTAAGAAGCAATTCTATATCTGACCAAAATTTGCAAAATTACATGTTTAATTTCATGTTAATGGTGCTTAAAAATGCGACGTCCGTTAGGATCCCATCTGTTGGATATACACAAAGTGGTGAAGGTTATCATATAGTCGGCCCCGTCCGACTTTACTACTTTCCTTACTGGTTATATAGGTTGAAGTTTTTACGTATCCGCCGCAAAGAGGGCTATGTCAAGAATTTTCGGTACTTTTTATTGCTTGATGATTTTACCATCGAAGTAGCTGTAAGTTGTCATTCCGAGTTCTTGCAGGGTGAAAACTGAGACTGTATTCATGTTTTTACTAGTTCTTCCCCAGCAGATAGATTCTTTATGGACATGTGATTCCCCACACACATAAATCAACAGAATGGACAATAAAATCAAGATTTTTTTTTCGAAAAATCACAAAATGTTAATTATCAACAAAAACTCTTATCACCAATGAGGGAATCCCTGTTACAAAACGATGACCGCACAGTCAGTTTGCTATATAAATAACACATTTGCAATTTTCATTCATTTATTTGACAATCACTGAAATAACATTGTTCAGCAGAACTTATACAAGAAATGTTCAGTTTAAATGCTATTGTATTATTAATTTCGTGTGTCGTTCTTGTCACATCTCTACCGGCGACTTTTGTGAATCGTTTTGAAACGGAAGCCAAGGCGTTGGAAAACTATGAAGCCATGGAACATGCCCGCTATGCTCGCTCACCCCAACATGGTAGTGTGAATATCGATTATACCAAAGATCAACGTGGACGTGAAGCTTCCGTGCAATATAATCACAATCTGTATACCAGCAGTGATGGTCGTGGTTCTATTGATGCCTATGCTCAAGGTAGCAGAAACTTTGATTACAATCGCAACAACTTTGGTGGTGGCATCCAAGGCAAATGGAGATTTTAAGCATTTTTTAAATTAAAAAAAAAAGATTTTTATTGATAAATAAAATTAAATAAAACGAAACCCCAAATAGTAGAAAAAGTATATAAGGTTTCATAACTCTACCTCTGCCTGTATTCAACAGATTTTTCATGAACATATTTTGTCCCTACATAACAAATTACAACCAAGTCGTAACAAAATAAGGCTAAATCCTTTAAAAGTACCTTACATGGGGCGAGACTTGGCTGCAAATGCAATTAGGTCTTTCAACATATGTATAAAATCTGGAGGGTCCTTTATATTAAGGTTACATAAATATCAATACGTTCTACATTCTGGGAGGTGTGTTTATTTTTAAAACCCATAAATGAAAAATAAGAAGAATATCGATTGGAAACAATTACATACAATGGACACTTTGTGTGTGGGCTAATTACAATCAAATTTCAAGATACAGAGACTTTGGATCTACAAACCCAGCCGAACTTTTTATGCCCTCCACCATGACGATGACAATTCAAATATCTAAATTAATGGGGGCACCTAGGAGAAAACTCATGTTACGATATGACCTTGAACAGAAATACGTGAGAAATCTGATCGAAACTCTTAAATTATGAAATAGAGGGGATGTCGTTTCATGGGCCTATAATAAACGGGGATCAATATTGATATTTTAAGGTACAAACCAATTTGGTTGAAAAACGTTTCCAAAATTCTCAAAATACAGTCTGGGGTCAATATTCATAATTTTTAATGCGAAGATCTGGTTGTACCGTTATGAGAAAAAAAAATGTGTCAAAAATCCTCATATTGGGGGTAGTAAAACGTTTCCAAAAAACCGAATAATGGGTACCCGCTATATGGGGGCTACCCTGAATCCTAGGTCAATATTAATAATTTTTGGTACGGATATGTTTTATTTATTGAGAACCCATAATACCAAATTACTATCTCCAAAATCCCCAATGGGTGTAACGAGATATGGAGGCTACCCTGAAACTTGGATCAATAATAAAATCTTTTTGTTTCGGAAATGTGCTATACAATGAGAACTCAAAATATAAAATTAATGCCATTTAGGTTGGAAAACACGTCCAAAATACCGAATACTGGGGGATAGTGTTATGTGGGGGCTACCCTGAAGCTAATATCAAATTGCAGACATGTTGGTGTAAAACGTTCCCAAAATACCGAATACTGAGGGGTACTGTTATGTGGGGGCTACCCTGAAGCTTAGGTCAATATTAATAATATTTGGTACGAAGGTGTGAACCCAAAATACTAAATTACAACTAAGTCGGTTGGAAAACGTGTTCAAAATCCCCATGTTATGTTACACCAAAACCTGGACAGATATATCCCATTTTCAATGCCGAACATCATAGGAGTACTAGCAACGTCTGTGCAAAACTTCAAAGCTTTATCTTAAATATTCCTATCTTTATCGTGATTTCAACACACATACAGGCAGACAGACGGGCATGCCTAAATTGACATATAATTTGATTGTTATACATCAAACTGGACCTAATTCAGTACTCTGAACCTAATTCAGTACTCGAACCAATATTAGAATTTTGTGCACAATTTACATCAAATCGGATGAAACTATATAAGGGAGCTATATCTAAATCGGAACCGATTCCACCAAAATTTCGCATTCATCAATCGGGACCTAATTCAGCACTCTGTGCAAAATTTTGTCTCAATTGGTCCAATAATAGCAGTATGGTGCTCCATTTGCAAAAAATCGGAAACTATATATATACCCCATATATATAGGGTATAAAACAAAACTTGGCATATATCTTACTTAGTTAGCCGGCCTGTGACAGCACTTTCGTTCCATAAGCCGAGCTTAGAAAAGATTTCCAGGAGCGTCGTTTTTTTGCACTGTTTTGCCAATTTTAAGGGGACCCCCCATTCTCGGGGTCAAAATTTGTGTTGACTTAATTCCAATCTACACTATTTCAAGAATCTCCCTGCAAAATTTCAAGTACAAATCTCAAGAACTCTTGAAGATATAGCCGATTTATTGTGTCAGCATTAAGTGACGGCTGAAGGGCTTCTCAAACTTTAAACGCGTTTTTCTCTAAACAATTTTTTGCGAATGGCGGGCACGATAACTCACAAACTAATAACCCCATCGATTTCAAATTTTTACACGTTTCTCTGTGAGTGTATAGCTATCGTATGAACTAGGATAAAGCCAATCGGTAAAGATCTTCCTTATTTTTTAAATTGGTTTTTGGTCAAAAATCGGCGATTTTCCAAAAATATTTTTTCAAAGGTCCGCCATTTTGCTAATTTTAGAGCGAAGTCAATAATCCTAGTTCATACGAGAGCCAGACATGAACTGTTTCTAACACCGTTGGAATTTTCGGATTTCGATGTTCCAGTGAGGAGTTATCATGCCCGCCATCAAAAATAAGGACTTTTCTTGATCACAAAAAACAACAACAATTTTATTTTTTATTATTTTATTATTTTTCTTCTCTTTTAAATCTTCAAATATATATGTGCAAAGTTACAAACCTTAACAAGCATTGGTATTCATTTACCAGCCCATTTAAAATCTTAAAAATAAAAAATCGAGAATCGGGGGGTCCCCTTAAACTATTTCCAATTTGACATTTTGTATCAATCGGACCGATATATCGGATAAATTCGAACGAAACTATATATGGGAGCTATATCTATCTGAAACGATTTTCTCCAATTTCAATAGGGTTCGTTTTTGGGCCAAATAAGTGACTTGTGCCAAATTTCATCCAAATCGGAGCAAAAATGCGACCTGTACTTTGTTCACAAAAATACATGGACGGGCGGGCGGACATGCTTAAATTGACTCAGAAAGTGATTCTATGCATACTCTCAAAAGGAACCATGGGTCAGCCTTGGCCAAACGGCCCAAATCGGACATTCCGAAGCATGTTAAACAAAGTCCTATAGTTCATATAAAAATAATGGATTTTTCCCCATTTTTATTATATATAATCAGGGATGGTCCGTGTGAGGAATTTTTAGGTTTTCGACTGTCAAAAAGGTGTAAACATCGAAAACGTCATATACCTGTATAAAATGTAATAAATGTAGTAATCGTCATTTATTTCAATATTATCAGCATATACAGTTATTTTCAAGAATATATATTATTTTTACATATATCTGACTATTCCCTACTAGAACTGATAAAATTTTATAATTTTTTTTTGAAAGAAAATTTTGAAATTTTATATTAATTTGAGTAAAGCATGCGTAATTTCCAAATTGATTAATGGAAATAGCTATTTTGTCAAAAACCTAATGGATTTGGGTAGGTTTCCGACGTTTCTGACGTATGTATTATACGTCGGAAATGTATGTCATTTAAGTCACTGTTTCTGACAGGCCATCTCTGTATATAATATATATAATAAAAATTAAATTAAAAAAATAAGTTTTTTTTTTTAAATTTATTAAACATTATTTTTTATTTTTATGATAAAAAATATTTTTTTTAATTAAATAAATTCTTATTAAACTTAATATTTTTAATATTGTATATTGTATCGGAAAAGAAAATTAAAATTGTTTAAAATAAAATACATTCAAAATCTCCATTTTCCTTGAATGCCACCACCAAAGTTATTACGATTATGATCAAAGTTACGACTACCCTGAGCGTAGGCATCAATAGATCCACGACCATCCCGACTGGTATATAAATTGTGATTGTATTGTACCGATGCTTCACGTCCACGTTGATCTTTGTTGTATCCAATATTTACACTTCCATGCTGGGGCGAACGAACATAACGGGCATGTTCCAAAGCTTCGTAATTTTCCAACGCCTCAGCTTCTATTTCAAATGGATTCTCAAAATTCGCAGGAAGAGATGTGACAAGAACGACGCAAGAAATTAACAACACAAATGCCTTTAGAGTAAACATTTTTGGTATGAATTGTGCTGAACGATGCCGCTTTACTGAATTACAAATAAATGAATGAAGATTGCGAATCAATTGATTTATTTATATAGAAATGTGGCTGAGAGCCCATCTGTTTTGTATCAGGGATCCCTATTAGGTGATAAGAGTTTTTTTATTATCAATATTTTGTGATTTCGCTTAAGTTGATTTATGTGAGAGGGGAATCACATGCCCATAAAGCATTCATCTATTGGGGAAGAACTTCAAAATATGTTTTGGTGTCACGAAAATTATCTCGGTATTTAATTCTGCAGATTGTTGAAGACACTTGGTCAGTCCAGAATGTCAATTTATAGCCACGACGAGACTAAGTCTTCAAAATATTCATTGAAAAACTTTTTTCATATTTCGATATTAAAGAATACTAAATGTCAATTAAAACTTCTTCGTTGGACAAAAACAGATTACGTTTTCAAAATATAGAAAACCTGGCAGAACCTTTATGCATAGCCCCTGAATAAATATTATGCCTAGTTTTTGGTACTTTGCAACATGGTCCTATATTGAATATTTTTTGCAATGATGTTTTTCACCCTCAAAGAACCCATAATTACAAAATACAGTCACTTTGGTGGGAAAGTGCTGATAAAACCATCGAAATCAAAATTTGAACCTGTATAGAAAATTATTTTCGGAAATGTGGTTTACTCTACATGAACGTACATGTCAATTGGTGGGAAATGCGCTAAAATCCGCCCCATTTTCAGTAATTTATATATGTTATCATCATTTCCTCACCAAAATAATTTTCTATTGAAATGACAGTAATTTGTCATAGCGTTATATGGTATATATGTCCAAATATGGACCTATATTGAAATTGGTAAGCAAAATTGTTTGTCGCACTCCAAGATGGGAAGCTACCTTCAATGCTCCGAAAATGGGTACCGTTGTATAGGAGATATTACAAAACGTGACCCGATATTCATAATTTTTTAAAGGAATATTTTATACCTCATGAGAAGCTATACTTGAAAGACGTGCTCAATAACGAGGGTACCGTTATATTGGGGCTTGTAGGGCGAATTTCTAACCAATGAAAATTCAAA